ACCGCCGCGCGGGGCGCCCACCGGGGCGCGCCCCCTCATTTCCATCTTCTGCCTCCCGCGACCAATCACACGCTACGCCACGCCCCCCGCGGGCGGCCGGTGCCCGGACGGTGCTCGGGGCGCGCGCTCAGAACGGCGTGACGTTTTACAATTATTTCCCTATGAGCACCTTGCAACCAAACGCTTATTTTTCCTTTCATTTTTCTCAGATAACGTTTTTTTACGCAATAATTAGTAACACTTACCAGAAAAGGCCAACTGTAACACATTTCGCACACGTATTTCACTCACAGAACTGAATTGTACCGACAGTACACTGACTATATTTTACCACAAATATAATCATGCAGGAAAATGGAATTCTTTTCTGCCAGCTCCTGCCTAAACGTAGCTGTTACCTTTTTTCAGAAGCTTCTTCACTTTCACGTAGTTTCCCTGCCTGACATACTGATGCAGCTGAGCCTCCAGGGAGTCACCTTTCACACTTCCAAGCCGGACTGGGCAGGGAATTGGAAGAGGGAGAGCGTGAGCCATCTTCTTTCTTCAACAGAACTAGGAAAAGATGCGAAATGTAATGAAGCTGCAAAACGCCATAGCCAAAAGACTTTGAAAACTTCAGTGGCTGACTCAATTAGTGATGGCTGTGTCCTCCAGACAAATCCCAAGATGGAGGGTGAAGGCCACTCTGCCCTGTCGTCCCACCTGCTTCTCCCCATGTGCCCTCTGAGGAAAGGCTTGTCCCTGAGACAGGGCGATGAGGGGCTGTGTTAGCGGGCAAGGCCTGGGCAAGGGGAAATGTGGTCCCAAGGAGGTAAAGAGAAATGTGACAACCGGGGGATGACAGAAACACAGGATCACACAGAATCCCAGAATGGCAGTGGTTGGAAGGGACCTTCAGAGATCATCCAGTCCCACCCCCCCTGCCATAGCAGGGTCACCCAGAGCAGGTTGGACAGGAACATGTCCAGTTGGGTTTTGAGTATCTCCAGAGAAGGAGACTCCACACCCCCTCTGGGCAGCCCATTCCAGTGCCCCGTCACCCTCGACCCCCTGTCGGGTGCGTAGGTCTCTCTGACCAGAGGAAGGCAGGCCGCAGCCAGCACCATTCCTGGCTCTGGGCCGCCCAGGCCCAGCCGCCCATTGGCTGTTTCTGCCCCCTTCCCACGACTAATGC